AAATGAAGTATTTCTAACTCACTTTTTATTTGATGACGCACTTCATCATGTTACTCGTTTTGAAAAAAGTTAAGGGCTTTAATACAGCTGTGGTCTCGCTTATGCGCATACGATAATATGTAGAAGCGTATACTGTAGGAGTTTTTCTTTATCAGAATAGTAAGCAGCAGACGTCCATCTGGAGTTTTAGAGGCGTCGGTAAGGATTTTTAAGTAGTTGGGGTAATGGGATATATATATATGATTTCTGCAAAACGATATTTAATTGCCGAGAAGTTAGTATTTGATTTGGGCCACTTTCTTGGTGTTAGATCAATGGTTAGTAGGCGGTTTGTCCATGGAGAACAGATTGCATTTGTATATAGCAATAGACTAATTTGACCCATATTAAAATTTTTGACTTTTATTCTTTGTATTATAAGTATACAGTTTGTTGCCTTTTTAAAAGAGAGGATGCCAGAGTGGAAAATTTGAGAGAAAAGACGAAGTTGTTTTTGAATTAAATTTTTGACAATGTGGTTTAGTGATAGATGTTGACGCCTTATGTATAGAGGTGGCTCTTTAGCTAGAATTTATACACTACTAGTGGTACTAATTTAGTAATTAGTAAAATTACTAAATTTTAATGCAATTTTGAGTATATTTAAGCTAGATTGACAGAAATGTTATAGTTTGTTGATATGCAAGTTCCAATTTAAGCTGTGGTCTTTACAAAAGTTAAACCTAGAAAATTAACTTCTGATTGCATTATTAATAAATTATTTAAATTCAGGTCAATTAAATACCGAGATCTGTTTGTAATAAAAATTATGTATTCTGTTTTTTCTGTAGAAAAGTTAAACCCAGGTTTTAATGTCCAATTTTCAAGCCTAGTTGAAAAATTTTGTAAAACTTTATTTGCGGATTCTATATTGTTTGATTTAGTATAAACGACGATGTCGTCTATATAAATACTGGTTTTAATAGGCTTTTATGAATAGCACTATTGATAGCAATTAAGAATAATGTTGAACTTATTATGGAACCTTGTGGAATTCCATTATCTAATGGTCTTGTTGAGCTTTTAAGACCATTTATCCTAATTTATATTGATCGATTATTTATAAAATTGTTTACAAATGCTAGTATGTTACCTTGAATCTCGTTATCGCTTAGATTTTTTAAAATGTAGTGTCCTTAAGTTCTCTCAAAAGCTTGGCTTATATAAAAAAATATTGCAATCAGTTTTTTTCTGTTTGCAAAATCTTCAATAATTTAGATTTGTAAAGTAACATGGTTATCTGACATCGATCTGCCTCTTCGAAAGCCACTTTGATAGGTGGAAAGGAGATTATTATTTTTCAAGTATCATATTAGACGAAGGTTTAAATTTTTTTCCAATATTTTACACATACTACAGGTAAGCGAGATGGGGTGGTAAGAAGTGGGCTTATCTTTAGATTAATTTGGCTTGATGATGAGAATTATTATTGCCTGGGACCAAAGGACAGAAAATTTATGTTTTAGAAAACAAATATTAAATAAATCTAGTAAAACTATGTAGTTTAGCTGTAAATGGTAAGTTTTTTATAAATAATATTTGTAATATGTCATCGCCTCGCCTGGTCCAGCCTGGTAATAAAAACACCTGGGAGGTGATTTTTAAATCAGAAATAGCCAATTCAAATTCTTGAAGAGTAATGCCGATGTTTAAAGGATCATTAATATCGTTTATGGTGATAATAGAGGATTTTATAGTTACCTTGTGCGTTAACATTTCCCTAGGTATATTATGACTGCTAGGATTTTGTTAATGAATATCAGCAAATGTTTCTGCAATAGCTTTGTTACAAGCTTAGAATAGGGAATTTTGACGTGTAAAATTCCCTACTCTAAGAATATCGGTAACCTACATGGCAGGCAACACACAGGATAACACCTCACTTAACTAGACAAGTGCGAACGTTTTATAGAGTCAATAGTACACTCCTAGAGTTTTTCACCTAGCTAACTCCCTTTATGATTTATATCTGTTTGACAACTTCACCAGTCGTTTTAACCTTTTAAGCCCCAACGTTCCCATTTTGGGAACATACTTGAATAAACCAACCTATAATCTACCAGAATAACTGCAAAACTTCCTGAAATAATAATTTTTATTATTTTTTTATGATTTATGAAATTTGATGTTTTTATAAAATTATGATTTTCAACTTTGAACTTCATTTTAAATATAATAGAAGGATCTTTTTCCAATATTTTATTTTCTTTTTATTTATTAATATGGTAATGAATGTAGTTGTCTTTATATAAAACGAATTTGTTTTTAAAAAGTGTCAAAAGTATAGCTTTCTAATACTTGTTCCCAGAATGGGAACGTTGGCATGTTTTAGTAAGGAAATCCGGCAAAAATGAAGAAACTTTCCCTTCCCGCCCCAAAGTGTTTGTAACTTTATACCGGTATCAATAATCCTAAATAGTTGGTTCGTTATAACAATGTAGTGTTTCATCATGATCAATGGTGCTACAGCCCTATGAAAGAGCCTCGACCTTCCCAAGTCTATTACGCCAGGCAGTCCTATCCATTGCCAACCGTTGCCAGTTTGCTGCGCCTATCTTTCAAGTGTAGTGTTTACTCAGCATAATAAACATTTTAAAATTAGAATATTTAGTCAGCTTATTTTCCAATTTTACTATGGACCCAAAAACGTTTTAAGGGCAAGTTATACTTTTTATTTTAGCGTATTCTTGTTTATAGTACAGTTACGTATAATACATGTTTCAGTGTGTAACCTAATTAGCAATAGCATTCTTCAATGTAACCAAATGTAGTAATAATTTTACTTGTCTATTTTTTATTATTTGTACTACAAAAACGTGTTTATTTTGTATTTCAATGACTCTCTTAGAAGATACAGATTTCTGGGCGAGGCTATTAGCTGACATAGTTCTTCTGCTACCTGATTTTGGAGACAAAGCTAATGAAAGCGACGATGATGGGGGAAATAATGAACTACCATTAGACAATCTAGGTCTACCCAAGGAAGTTTCTGCAGAAGTAGAGGTGCACGAATCAGGTATTGATTGATGATGATGACGACTCTTTCAGTGACACAGACGATTTAAAACCAGGACTTTCCACTGCAAAACGAGCTCGTAAGAATTTTTCTAATACAGATATTACATGGAAAAAGCAAGAGAGTGTACATATTCAAACTCCATTAGTCGTGCCTAGAAAAGTAGGAGAAGGGCACCTTGGAAAGTCACCTTTTGAAATTTTTGGCCTATTTTTTACATCGGATATTATGGGATTTATCTTAGAACAGACATTATTATACGCTCTTCGAGAAAAGAATAATCCATCCTTTCAGATTACTGATCAAGAACAGAGACAATTTCATGGATTATTGGTACTCAGGTACTCTACGACAAAAGATTTGTTTGCTCCATTATTTGGAAAAATTATGAGCAGAGAAACATTTCGCTCTATCAAAAAACATTTACATACATGCAACAATCAAAACCTCACTCCGTCTAAAGTAACTAAGGTCCAACCTTTGTGAGACAAGCTTCTGGCGCAATTTTAACAATTTGGAATATTTCACGAATTACTAAGCAAAGATGAAGAAATGGTTCAATATCATGGATACCGTTCTACTAAAATGTTTATAAAAACTAAACCTATAAGATTCGGGTTTAAGTTATGGATGCTTTGTGGAGTAGATGGTTATTCATTATAATATCCATATCAAATCTACTGTGGGAAAACAGAAAATTGTTCAGCACCACTAGGAACTCGTGTTATCAATGACCTCCTTGCCGTCGTTCAAAATCCCCTACAACATTTAGTGTTTTTTGAGATAATTTTTTTATAAGCCACAAATTAACAGATTTAGCAAAGCAAGGAGTCCGAGCTTGTGGAACAATTCTCGAGAACCGTACAGCTAATTGCCCGCTACCGAACTCAAAGGAGATAAAAAAAACAACGTGGTTTTTACAACTTTCGTTCAGACGGAACAGTCATTTGTGTCAAGTGGAATAATAACTTTGTCGTTACAGTTGCAAGTAATTATTTCAAAGCCAAACCAGTCCCCAAGCCAAAGTAGGAAAAATGTGCCTCAACCGGACCTAATAAGAAAATATAACGAAGAGATGGGAGGAGTTGACCTTCTGCTGGATCGAATATTGAGCAGCTACCAGCCCAGATTGAGGTCAAAAAAATTATGGTGGAATCTGTTTTCTAATGTCTTTTGGAAGTCGTTTTTTCTTTCAGATTCGGTCAACACCATCGAGTTAAAATCTATGGAGAGGGCATCACGTGACTAAAAACGACCTCACTTCGGCCATATTGTTAATATTGCTTTGAAACTTTTGACAGATCGTATATGTTTGTTTACATTTGTTGTTTTTTCGAATATTTTCAGTTTTATAATACTTTTATAGAAACTGTAATATATTGTGATAGTGCATAATAATGGTTTCTTGTTCTCAACGTAGTTGCAGTAGCAGAAGCAATGTTAATAAAAAATCTTCAGGAATATCGTTCCACAGGTTAGTATACAAATATGTAAACAAAGTAATGGCCCGTACTTCAGAGAATAAATTAATAGTATTTGACTGTATTAATTTATCTTTATGTATAATATATCGTGTTTTTAGTGTTTACCGCGGATAAATAAATCATAGTTTATTAAAAATGTATTGCACTTTTTTAGATTATGATTAAATCTTCTGAATAACTAGTCATATTTGTATAGTAGTTTTAATATTATTGAGTCTGGCCCTGATGTCACCGCCATATTGGTATTATCGTTAGCCACGCCTACCTACGCCGTTTTTAATACATACGTTAATATGCTCATAGCTTCTCCATAGATTCTAACTCGATGATCAACACTTACATCCAAAGGAAAATATTTATCATCTAACTTTTCGTCGACATGTGACACTACCTCTTCTGAAGGCAGAAATATATTACAAAACTATTATCTACTATTATTATTTATTTTTATTAAAAAATATTATCAATACATAGACCTCCAATGATACCATATCTCAATTGAAAGTCAAAATTTTAATCCTATCTAGTAGCGGCATTTAAAAGGTAAAAGGCAATTATGTATAGGATTAATATTTAAGTGAACCATGTGGTATTTATTTTTATTTTGGGTTTTATCAAATTGTAATGTTATTGTTGTTTAAATAATCCTAATGTTGTAATTTACTATTATGCTTGTACCATTGCAATTATAATACCTTTGTAATATGGTAATAGTATTTCTGTTTTGTTGCAAAAAAAATATTTTCTCTTTTTATACAATTTGGTTTGTCCGTAAATAACTAAGTAATATTTAAATTGTGTCAAATATAGTATATTTAAGCTAGATTTTTTGACTGAAAAATTTATGTTAGTTTTTATTTTAGGCTTTCCTCAAGAGGAAAACACATTGGACAGTATGAAAACAATACTCGTACGTACATGTAATAAAGAACAACATATGAGTCAACCAGTTGAAGAAAATACATTAAAATGTGAAATTTGCGTTAAGCACTTTGCCAATAGAAGTTCATTAAATAAACACATGAAGATTCACACTGGGGTAAAACCTTACCAGTGTGAAATTTGTTTTAAGCAATTTAGAGAAACAGCAAGTTTGAAAACACATTTGAGACTGCACACTGGAGAAACGCCTTACAAATGCGAAATTTGTTTTAAACAGTTTGCTCAAAAAAATATTTTAAATAAACACAAATACATTCACACTGGAGAAAAACCGTATACGTGTGAAATCTGTTTTAAGCCGTTTTATCAGTCCATTTATTTGAAACGCCATATGAGATCACATACTGGAGAACAATCGTACAAGTGTGAAATTTGTTTTAAGCAGTTTTCTGAGTCACATAATTTAAAACAACATATGAGTTTGCACACTGGGAAAAAACCATACAAGTGTGAAATTTGTTTTAATCAGTTTAGCGAAAAAAGTACTTTGAAAATACATATGAGAGTGCACACTGGGGAAAAACCTTACAAGTGTGAAATTTGTTTTAAACGGTTTACAATAAAAGGTTATTTAAAATATCATTTGAGAGTGCACACTGGAGAAAAACCTTACCAGTGTGAAATTTGTTTGAAACAATTTAGACAAGCAGCAAGTTTGAAAACACATTTGAGACTGCACACTGGGAAAAGCCTTACAAGTGTGAAATTTGTTTTAAACAGTTTGCTAAAAAAGATAATTTAAATGGACACATATACGTCCACACTGAAGATAAACCATACAAGTGTGAAATTTGTTTTAAGCAGTTTAGTCAGAAAAGTTATTGGAAAAATCATATGAGACTGCACACTGGGGAAACGCCTTACAATTGTGAAATTTGTTTAAAGCCCTTTTCTCAACTAAGTCATATGAAACAACACATGAAATTGCATACTGGAGAAAAATCTTAAATTGTGATATTTGTTATAAGTAGTTTTCTCAACTAGGCAATATAAAACAATATATGTGATTGCACACCGGAGAAAAACCATACAAGTGTGGAATTTGGTTTAAGCAGTTCGCAATACAAGGTAGTTTAACACGTTCAATGCCGATAAGAATGTTGAGAGTATCGGAAAAAACGGGACTAGTGTATTACTAATATGGACATGAAAATCAATAAAAATTATCTTAATTATGTACTTTTTGAAGTTTACATATGTCAAAGAGTATTTTGAACCTTGACTCACGAGTTGAGTTATTGGCCTTTGAAGAATGGCCAGAATGTATCCACGCATATAGGCCAATGACTTAATAGTTGAGTCATGAAACTAAACCAATATTACAATCTAAATTTAGAAATAAAAATATCATACATCAATCATATATTGCATACTAAATAACAATTTTTTAACTACTATTATTTTCATAGCATACTCTACATATTTTCCATATTTGTCTTCCCTTGGGATCAGAATGGTATTTTTCCAGAAGCTAAATTCTGTAGAAATAAAATATATTTCTCTCTTGTCACGCCACTTTCCTCCGTCATTATATTTAGTTATAACTCCCCCTTTAGTCAACTTATGTCAGGTATCTTTTTCTGTTTAATCTTAAAGTTCAAGTTTTTTATCAGAAGTCCTTTACTAAGAACATGACTGTTGTAATAATTGTACTTAAACAATGAATGCCCTTGAAAAATAATTTCCCATCAATGCAAGTACTACATAAGCGACATACTCCATTTCTTTCTCTGCTCCACTGTCTATTCTAAATTTTAATGTAAGTCCACCTGGTTCAGTTAACATATACAATTTTATTCCAAATTACAGTGATCAAATAACCAGTGACTTATTTAAGTAAAGCTGTTTATTTGTATAATAAATTTGATCAATTCGTTCGTTAAAAAAAATCCTGTAGCCACCTAATCTTATTCTGGCGATCGTTATAACCTGGCTGGTCTACTTGTGGTGTTGGCGGAAAAAGCAAACATCTTAAGATTGTAAGAAAACAATTTCTACTCATAGACTGTCTAAAACATGAAAGATTTGATGAGTTATCTGTTTTCCAATAATATTGAATACGATTTAATTGAATATTGCCCATGTATAACCATAAACCCAAAAATACTTTTATTGAAAAAACGGTTAACGGTTTTCAGGATGTTATTCTGTAGTGCTCTTTTGTTTTTCCACTCAAAAACACATTTTCAGCATACGTATTTGTTACCGCTACTATATCTTCAAAAAAGTCATCAGTAAAGAATAATTGGAAAAAGTCATACGGGTTAACTGTAAGTAAACTTGTTTTTAATAGTATTCATGCTTTAGGTCTACTTAATTGACTTACTATTCTCCTCCCTGTTTGTTGCTTATTCTTCCCACCTAGTGTTGCCTAAATGCAAGAACAAGACGAGACTTAGACAGCTTGATCTTGGTCTTGCGCCAATACACCTGCTCTTGGTATTGCACTCCCGGTCTTGGTCTTGCAGCAAGAGTCTTGCAAGTCTTGCAGTTACCCATTAGCCTATTGCTATTTATTAAACGTTACTTTAGATCTTAGAACAACGTAACAGAGCAAGTACATTTTAAGCTTGAATTAACATAGCCATAATAAAGACCAACCAAATTAATAAATGTCCTAAACAACTGACACCGGGTAGGGTTTGAAGCCACGATCTAAGTGATCCGTGCCTATGCTCTAACTAACTTAGCTATCTACAATGCCCACGGAAGTCATCTGTTTCTAATAAAGTTTGCATTAAATACATGTCTAAACAGGTAAAACAAAAAAACAAATTAATGACATAAACTTGACTGTATTTTAAAGAACATTATCTGCCTAGAAAGGGATTGATGGACCCCCCACCATATATGAAATGGAAATCTTAAAAAAGATTGGTATGTGGCAAAAAATCCACATACATGTATCATGGGCACAGATTCTTTAGGTGATAAGATAACAAACTATAATCCACTTATAAAGCAACATAAATGTTGTTAACAATCTTAGCTCTGCTTTTATATAAAAAACTAACTTGAAACAATAAAGAATAGGTAAAAAAGCAATGATAATCAAAAGAAGTTATTTTAAATTAAGGAGATATCTACTTACATATCTAATTAATGTATTTAATAATATAAATTATTAAATACATTAATTTACCAAAATAAAGTAGTAGGTACTACTACTTTACATATACATATATAATATAATATTTTTCCAGCGGTTATTAAAAAGCTTGTGGTATTTCCACCGAATTTTGGTTTTTCAGGAAGAAATGTTTGTAAATCCTTTTTGTGAAAAGATATTAAATCCTTCCTTAAACCTGACGTGTTTCTGTTTTTAATTTTCATTTCAATCTTTCTATGTAGGCACAATTTAAACAAAGCAATTTGCGATGGATGAATTATTTCGAAAAACTCATCAAATTTGCTTTTAGGTCTTTTAGATCTATAATTCGAACGCTCATTATTCTGACTAGAACTATTTGAATCTTTGTCCCTCATGTCAAATTGTAAACTTCAATTGGGAATGAAGTTTGGTGATGTCGAAGAAGTAACTACTACTTTATGTCCGTTAGCATCCAATACCCTAAGTATCTATTAACAAACCGAGCATTTCGTTATTCGTTATTCTAATCGTTATTCTAAATATTTCGATATTTTGTTTACACGGTAGGCGACATTATCTATTATTAATTTGTCTCGTTACTTTTTATTATCCATAAATAATATATTATTATATTATTTAATATTAGCCGCACTATTTCAGCAAATTTTATGTAACAATAAAACACTGAAAACTTTGTTTTCAAACTTCCACAAAATTTATTTTAACTTTTATCACTACAGCTGTTTCGGCTGATTGCCTTTCTCAAGTAATCTATTTTTGCCTGCGTTTACAATTTATAGTCTCAAATGAAATAGGTCGAGGAGGGAAGAACTGTTTGTCGCAAGTTGGTCATTCAGAATTATATCTGTGTTTTTTAATTTGTTGATTTCCTGATTTTTTGTTGTTATTTTGCCTGTATATAAAATAGCCTGTATATAAAATATATAAAATAGCCAAACACATAAAATAGGAAGGAATAACACCAGTTTTTCGAACAAATAACAACCTAGGCAAATATATTAAAAATAACAAGAGCCAAAACAAAAAACACTTAAATAGTGGTGTCTACAAACTTCAATGTGGCGACTGCCCAAAAACTTACATCGATCAAACTGGTAGGAACTTTAATAAACGAATAGCAGAACATAAAACGGCTTTCAATAATAGAAAAACAGATTCGACATACGCACTTCACCTTCTAGATCATAATCATTCTTTTAATGACAAATTTAAAATTATTCACATTCAAAATAAAGGCCTTAAGCTATCTTTGTTAGAATCTATGGAAATCAACAAATTAAAAAACACAGATATAATTCTTAATGACCAACTTGAGACAAACAGTTCTCCCCTCCTCAACCTATTTCATTAGAGACTATAAATTGTAAACGCAGGCCAAAAATAGATCACTTGAGAAAGGCAATCAGCCGAAACAGCTGTAGTGATAAGAGTTAAAATAAATTTTGTGGAAGTTTGAAAACAAAGTTTTCAGTGTTTTATTGTTACATAAAATGAATTTCCATCAAGTAACGGTCGAATCCATCAATTATTCAGCAAATTTTGTTTAACCGAATGATCTCATTATCTCATTGCACACTCAGCAGAAATAATCTTTAGTCTGCCGATAAGATTTGTTTATTTAGATTCCTCCTAACTAAATTATAATTGGAAAAAAATTGAATTATTAAGTGGGTGTCCGTAACAATAAGTGTTATATTTTTTATTAGCTAAGGTCATATACTGACATATTTATAAAAAAATCGATATAATATTACTATGGGCGTCGCAATGCAAGAAGATTATTTTATGATTAGAAGTCGGCTATTCTCAAAATCTGGACAATTAATTAACAGCGAAGAAGTCGTCTGCTGGAAAATAATATTTTATTTTTACATTATAATTATGACCTGAGCACGTGTTAAATGTGTTTTTTTATGAATATTTTGAATCCGTATTTATGTGTATGGTATTGTACGTAATGCGCATAAGTCCAGTTTTTCAAATTTTTATTACATTTTTTGCATCTCATACAGTCTTTAAACATATACCCAAACTACTATACTCGCTAAAACAGTACTTAGTCCTAACTGTAAAAGTCTCGTAGGCTTAGTTTTGTTCTTGCTTAAATCTTGCACGACCAGTCTTGGTCTTGCTAAAATTAGGCGGTCTTGGTCTTGCGAAAACGCAAGAATAAGACCAAGACTGATTTTGGGCAACACTCCCAACCGTCAATTTCCTCTTTTCTGAGATATTTGTACACGCTATCAAACCATGTTTGGCCGGGTCGTCCTTTCTTTTTTTTTTTGTTATTTTAGAATCATCTTCGGCATTCTTTCCATTCTAATCATGTATCCCATTCATCTCTCTCTGTGCTTTTATAAAGCGACTGATGCTTGGTTCGTTATACAGTTCCTCTCTCCCTGTTTGTTCGTCGCACCCAACCTTTCACCATGTTTTTGCCTCCATATATAGCTCTGAGAATTTTGATTTCCAATTATAAACGTATTTGCATATTTCATTGTCCATACGTCACTGTGGGCCTTATTACTGTTTTATATATCCTTAACTTTGTTGTTCTCGATACATATCTGGATTTTATCAGTGGTTTTAGTCTTCCCGTCTTTTTATTTAATTTTACCAATCTGACATTTAGTTCCCGTTTTTCCTAACCTTTCTCTTCTATAATAACCCCCCAGATACGTAAAATGTATTACTCTCTTGAAATTATATTCCCTACCACGAATCATCACAGTTTAGTTGACATTTTTTGATTATATTTTTGTGTAAATGGTTACAATATTAGTTATTTTACGTCTTTTCAAAGTGTAATATATAATATATGTGTGTTACAATAATAAAAAACAATTTCTAAAACTCTAACCAAATAATATAGACGCTTCTAACTAAATAGAAAAAAGTGAGGAAGAAGTTCAATCTAACCTACAATATGCAAGTAAGGTGTAATT